CATTATATCATATTCAAGCATAAAAAAAACTATGAAATCCACTAATATAATATGTCTCGCAACTAATTATCATTTCTTGGATAACGTATGAGGAATTTTGGAAACAGAGTAGCTAAGAAATGGAAACTCGATGAAACTATCCAGCAAAGTGAACTACTAGTAGACTAAATCTCTATCTAATAGTAATAACGGGTTATTATGGTGATGAATGAAGCTGTATGTAGTTGCGAATATAACAAAATCTAATTGTAGACATACCTTTATAACCTTGAAAGGAGTGATGACATTGTCACCTCGACAAATGTCACGCAAAGGTTGTGAGTAATTTGCCGCCGTGACAATTCTGTGACACGATACCTTGTCCACGAATATGTGTTTAGACGCACGCAGGTAGAGTTAGTGAGTTATATGAGCAAGCAAAGAATTATATTTTTCTGTTATGTATACAGTAATTAGTAGTAATATAGTTACGAATGCAATGCCAAATCTCTGAGTTAGATACATATATATGACATAGAAAACATTCAAAAGACTTGAAAATATATTATTCTGGTAGATAATAATTATTATAAATCTATGTCGATTAATCATTATGCTTGCCAGTTCTCTTACTAGAACTTGGCTTTGATAGGCTCCCGCGTGTCTATAGATACATGTATATAATCTTTATTATTCTGGAAATGATTAAAATTGTATGTTGTTACGCAAATATTTTTTTTATTGTGGAAATATAATAATTTAAGATGCATTTAACGTAAAAAAACACAAATTACATTAATGAATTTTCATTTTGCATTGTAAATTAAAATATCTAATTCTGCTCTAAATTACTACTTATACGATGAGTAATTCAGGATTTTGCGTTATAATGCCTGTCTTAATTATTAACAAATTATCATGAAATAATGTCTATTTGTCCAATTTCTGATCTGAGGTAAATGATAAATTAACATACAAGTTTACTAATGATAAATTCTGAGATTAACTAAATGGTAAACATCACACGTATCACAGTAAACAACAATTTGGATAGTGTTGCTAAAGTTTATATGATGAATTGGACATTTAAAAGCAATTGTAAACGAAGAAAATTACAAAATATGCATTCAGCCGAATATGAAAATGGCCACTTTATAAAGTTAAAATAAAAACAGCATCTTAAAATATACTTTAAGTACTGATATTATGGGAGAACTCTATGTTAAGATTAATAATTAATAAAATACTTAAATAAGAAATAGAAAAGTGTCACAATGAATATCAAAACCAATGATTGTAGGGAAACGAAATAATCCTTCATTGTTCCAGTTGTACTGTAACATAGTTGAAACGTATTGCGATAGTGTAGTAGATAAAATACACCTAATGCAAAAATATATGTATAAACATTACTATTATGTTAACCTATTTACCTAAATTAGGTAATAATAAAGTGTCCCTTTTCCCATCACTGCCTTTTAACCGCTTTCTCTTTTTATCCAATGGTTATAGCATCATTGCAACAATTATTACGTTTTTAGTGCAATACAGAATATTGAAATAAATAATATATTGAATAATATTGACCGATCTGATAGATGTCATACTGTGACGTAAATATTTCGGCTTATTTTCTTCATAATTGTACCCATGCGAAGTTGGAACAGAGAATTAGTATTTTATTAATTACAGAACATGAGTGTTGGAATAAAAAAAAACATATTAACTATAAGTTTAATTTACGACCAGCTAGAAACAGACATTAATAAATGCAATACGTAGTAATTTATTAAAAACAAAACTGCTGGAAGAAAAGGAAAGTTTTGTTTGTACAATTTTGCGAAGAACTCCAAAACTCCATATAGGTACGTAAGTTTCATCATTAGTAAAGTTTCTTTCTTTGTATTTTTCTTAGATGACTCTTCAAACTTAATACTCGTGTAGATCTGACGACGTAATTCATGACGTCACGGTAATTGTAATCTTCAAAGGTCTGTCGGAAATAACATTATTGGATCGTAACTACGATTCCGTTTACAATTATTGTTTCTCTATAAATTTACTTCAATCGAGATATAAATTAATATGTACCTAACAAGTAAGTAAATCTCAATTGATTTAAAAAAAATAGGTAACATACTGACATACCTATAGGGCGACTGCGTTGAGAATCTATTCTTTTGCAAGTTGGTCAAATAGTATGACAATTTAGTAGATAGAGAATAGACGAATATGTTTCTGATTTAACAGAAAATAACTATTGGTTTTAAACAAAGATTTTTAATTTCTTGTAAATATATTTCTTATTTTAATGTGTTAATATGTTATAAAAAACTATGAGCCTTCAAAAAATTTATATTCATATAAAAAAGAAGGCCGGACTTACTGATTTATCCACGTCCAACCTAAACCCTAGAAGCAAATTTTTTTCAAAGGTGTTATTTTTGAAACATAGACGAGAAATTATAAAAGATTTTCGAAATTCAATCCTTTAGGGGTAAAACCAGACGCTCTAAGTTGTGAATTGCAGAAATAATATTAATTAAAGATTTTAAATAGTACTTCCTTGAAACATTCCTAAAATGAAAAAGTACATTTTGTTTTTGTAAGAAACAAGGAGTCGTTAAATCGTGGTAATTAAGGCAAGAGAAGCCAAGAAGAAGTAAAAGCTAGTAAAAATATAAACAAAAGTACGATTACTTGAGCAACATATATTATAATTATCTGTAATAATATAACACAAAGTTTACTTAAACATAATTAATTTTGTATGTGTTTAGAACAAAGTAATCCATCGTAGATGCTCTATTGCAAACTAGAGTAATTAAATAACAATATAGTCAAAGCTTTTAGTCTGTAAGATTTATAGTTACAGTGAAAATGTGAGATTGTTATGTACAATACTACATCTAATTAATTCTAATCTAACATATAAAATTATAGTGTCACAGTCTTATTTACCATATTTCTCCGAAATGGCCTAATTAAATTTGATAGAATTTTATATGCAGTATACATAAATAAAAATTTTATCAAAATTAATTAGGTACCAAGTGCACCTCCCATTATGTATGGGACTACCGACTACCGAAGTATGAGAATAGGTTGTTATCTAAACTATTAACCTTCTACCTTCAACTTCTATATTTTATAACCATATTAAAATAACGTTTGCTACAAAAGCTGGTTTAATATAAAATACTTGTAAGTAAATAAAACGTTTCGAGAACACTTGTTCTGTACGTAATCAATTGTACTTATACCATTTACCTGTCTATTGGAGGACTGTTGAACAATATAATAAAAATATGAATTACCTTTATGACTTAGATATCATATTACTGATTGGCATCTTTGTATATTGTAGTATTGAGGACATATTCATAGCATGGGGTTTTTCAAGGGTCAACGCGCAGGTCACACCTGGTGTCTGGCAGTCCATAGGCTACGGTAACTATTTACCATCAGATGGACCGTCTGCATGTTTGCCACCGTAGTGTAAAAAAATTAGTTATTTAATGATAAATATTAAATAAATTAAATACATTTTTCTGATTCTGATGGTAAAGCGTATTAATATAATTTTAATTATATTTCATTATATTATATCAGTCCAATTTCTATTTTCATAGATGCTTTATATGCTTTATATGAGTCTACAATCAACGACATTAGACTTAAAACATTATACCTGAGAATACTCTAGCTACAACTAACCCACATTTATTTACACTTTTAAGTTATTATTTCCAACAGTACATGTCTATAATATTAAAAAATCATTTATTCATGCAGGATATGCTAGGCACTTATGCCAGTCAAGTTATTTGCATTATTATATTTCCCATTTCAGTCACTTATGCATGTGAAGGTTTCTGTATACTATATATTTTTTGCCTACTGTCCAGTTCAGTCTACAGATTCATTTGAGAACTGGCGAGAAACTCAACTGAATTTCAATCATAAAATTTCAACATTACTTACTTATTTAGATGTCCATTACTAACATTAAATAAAAACCCGTACGTGATGCACGTTTGTTATTTAAGTAATGGTTTAAAAGTAATAAGCCTTTATCAGTATGTTATACATAACAGAAGTTTTAAATTTAATCGATGTTGTCTCCAGAATATCCTACTATACCTTTTTTTTTTCATTTTAATTTAATGTAATTTTTTATCCATTCCCACAAAAAAACCATATTGACAAGTCAATATGGGTCTATAAATCCAGTATTGAGGTTATGATACATTGTATACATAATTTGCCTATACGTGAAACTTTTTTCATCATTGCTTGTCGAGTTACGTGACTGGCCCACTTTAGGTTTCCGATCTTTCGGGCTATATCGCTCACTATGTTGTGAGGATATCCTTATTTCGTTTTCTATCACGCAACGGAGTCCCGAGCAAAGATTGCCATCCTCATAGCTCTTCACCACATGGAAAAAATTATACATCTGATATAAAAGATGGGAGCATCTGGCGGCCCCAATGTAATATATCATATTGTTTACTTTTCGTTGTACTGCGATAACAGATCGTGATACAGACGGTAACATTATTCTATAAATGTACGTACTGCACATAACTAAACCATAATTTTCTTATGACAATCATAATACGAGATTCATAACGAGCTGATATTAAACAAGTACTTGCGCTATATCATTGCGCACACATAGTTCGTTATTTTCACACTGAGCAACATAAACATCGACTTATTGTATTCATTATGAGAAATTTCATATGCTAATATTTGTTATTGCAAACACATCCCATACCTGTTCATAGTGGCCTGTTTTATTAAAAAATAGGTTACGAGTTTAAAACTAATGTGGTACTTACATCAAACAATCGGAGGTGAAATTAAAATCTGGACTGACTGTTCACAAAACAATAGGCACAATAAGGACACAGGTGCTGAAAATACACAATATAACACTTGGTGATAGTTTCAATAAGATCGTGAGGTGATATTTAATTCATAATTAATTAATACGTTGAATGTTTAATTCACGGTTAGGTTCGCGGAGTACGACGCCGGTAGTAGCGCGGTGGTACGGAGCGTATTTCGCGGTAGCTGTGAGTAGACTGCGGAGAGGCGCGGGCGAGGCGGGCCTGCGGGCGGCAAGGTGGCTGCCGGCCTGGCCAGCCACGCTCCCGCCCGCCCAGCGATACCTTTGTATAACCCGATGATTTCCTGCCATTTGTGCAATCTTCGCAACAATTTTATAATTTTAATGCTACTTTTTGTACGTTTATATAAGATAATCTGAAGTAATATAGTAAAGAGGACAATTTGTTGCTTTTTGTTTGTGATTAATCTTAATCTTAATAATATTATAAATGCATAAGTTTTTAAGCACGTGTGAAAGGATTTTGATGAAACTTTACAGTAATATAGGTTATGCATCAGAATAACACATAGGCTGTATTTTTTATTGAAATTTAACTCGGGTGAAACCACAGGCATAGCTTGTAAATAATACAAAAAATACTTGAGTTTGCCTTTAGAAAATACTTTTCCCCGTAGTAAGCATCACTGCGGACTATAGGTAGCAGTGAATAATTTTGAAATTAACAAATTAATTTACTTAAGAAATTATTTCTAATGATATAAATATAATGGCTTGTGAAATATTATTCTTTATTTATAGATATTTTTAAAATAAGTACAGTAGTTGCAGATTTTTTTTTCCGAGAAATTGTTAAAATTTTCATTTATACGTTGGCTGTATATTATATTGTTAAGATATAGGACTCAATTTGATATGCGAAATGTAAACTCCGAAACCACTGCTCTTATTGAGATTTTTTTACCTATTTGAAGGTAAATAATCCGATAGGCCATATTTTGTTAAATTAAAATCTCACGTTAGAGTTGTAGGTACGCTTTGTGTGTTCTACCAATTATATAATGGACTGTGGTTAGAGGAATTGTCCATCATGATGCGTACGGCTACCTTTTACTATTGTTCGCCATCGACTGAGAATGCTTCCCCGCAAGCTAGAACCTAAGTGGTCACTTTGATTGAGAAACGAACTGAAATGATATATATCTTAAGAGATATGCAGTTATGTATATATTAAACACTCATTCGTCGTTTTATTCAGGATGCCAGTCCTCGAGGCGTCAGGCTAAACACCACAGGTAACCGTTTATCATCAGATGATCATAAGATGGGCCGTATGCTTGTTTACCACTATCGTAGTGTAAAACAAATGTTAGAGCAATATCGGAGAGGACCACTAGTATATAATATATGTATATATAGACTAATCGAGGTATATTATGATAAGTTCATTTTGCCCGCATTAGGCATACAAAGCCTATACGTTATGTTCCAGTTTGATGTACGATATAATGGATAACATTAATTACAATTAGTGATACTATACTCTACAACATACTAAACATGTCTGTGTTATGTTGGGAATATTTGAGTCCGATTTCACAAGAATTCAATATATAATAATGATATATAGCTTATGTTTGCATTAATTGTTTTTAAATAATCCGTAAAATAGTTATGGATGCGGTTGTTGTCAAGTCGGATCCAATTATGTGTAACATAGGCTTATTATAAACATGTTGTAGTCATACATAGATTCATTAATTATCCTGAATAGCTCCATTAGCTCATATATAAAATTAGATTATTATCTAAATAAACTAAATATATTTCTCACTGTTTGATTCTCTAGTCGGTTAGAAATATACATTGACACACAATGTGTTAAATTTATCGCCATTCCACACACACACTCATACTCTCCCACAGACATAAATATTACATATTACTGGAAAATTATAATTACATTAATTATTAATTAGTGATATAGAATAGTTTAACTTTCAGGACTAAATGCAGAGAATGTTTTACTTATAGTTCATTGGTCGTTGGAAACAGCGTGTCAGCTTGTTCGTATCTGTCAGCACCCCGCTGCATTCAATGTTCGAGTCATCTACCTGTCAATGACAGGTACGTTTCATTTGACCTCCTACTATATCTCATTGTATACTAGAAGAGCCCATGACTTTGCACTTGTGTAACTTTTTTAGTTGTTAACTGAATGGAATAAAACATTACCAATTATTTATTAGTGACTCTGTAATTAAATTATAATACTATAAAATGTCAAAACTTAACCTATGTCATGATAATATTAATACTAGATTTAAAGACAAGCTTACTGACTATTCCAAGCATCGTTTAGAAAACAGTCAATGTGTTTTTTATAAAAATACCTATAAAAACACATTGACTATGGTATAAAAAATTATAATAAGATACCAAAGAATATACTGAAATTAACTTTAAATAAATTGAAAACATCTGTTACATCATATTTATTGAGCAAATTTATTTACTAAACGATTACTTAAATATCAAACATGCATTACAATTGCTGTTCATACACGGGATTTCATCTAATTTTAGACATAGACACCTTTATACGTATACAATGTAATTAAACTGGGTTTTTAAACTTATTCAATTCATTTGAGTTTCTTGCCAGTTCTTCTCAATTGCATCTGTATGCTGTACTGGATGGTAGGGAAACAATATTAATATAAAAAGTTCATAAGCTGAACTGCTGAAGCTGATTGTGTAAAGAAGTTTCTTATATTTTGTTTAATAAAAGACAAATGAAATCTATTGATAAAACACAACAGCGGACGTTCTCGTATAGACAAAAATTCTATCAGTTATTGTTTTGGGTCTTATAACGATGATCTGTGATGATGAAGTCCCCTAATGATAGTTTTTCTAACATACTCATGTACAGACAGCCATCGATTATGTTTATATTATATGTACATATTTCAGTAGTCTACTCTAAATGAATTGAAACCAATAAATGTTATTTCTATTTTCAATTGCAACTGTCCAATGTTATAGACAATCCTGAAACTGTCAATTTCATTCTTTTTTTAAATGGATATCGTCGACAACTATCTTACATAATATAAAATCCTTGCCAACGTTCATGCACAAGACATCCACTTAGATTACTATACTACTATAGTACTGCATTTGTGAGACACTGAATTTTTAAAACAGTAAGGCGTAGCAATAATACATTTTCTTATTATGTACGCTTGATAGCTATAATCAAATAATTGGTGTAAAGACCTGATTAACATTATAATTGAATAATGTAACTACATTATTCAAATATAATGTTAATCAGGTCTTTACTTCTTTTTTTTTAAGATAAATAAAGTATTTTATGAAAATGTGAAAAAAATGTTTATTGCTTTAAAAAACAATTGGATTACAATAACACAGTGTTGTATACATCCCGTTCTTCCATATACATTGCCATATGTGTTTTTTTTTAAAGATTAATTTAAGTCATTAGATACCAAAAATTACTAAACAAGAGTTACTTTTTAGAAGTTAAGTATGACAAATTGCAAGTATGAATATATTATACATATAATGTGTGTTTATTGTTTAGTGGCGTGTAGTTACTCTGGTAAGTCATAGCACTACAGTATAGTTTCGATAGCTGTTTTAAATCATTATTAAAAAAACAGTAATTACTACTATCAATGTTTCAACTAGGTACAGCGATATCAATGTCGATAGATGCCAGTAATTTGTTCAACTACATATAGGTAGTCCCTAGATTATTCAATGAAACATCACAATGCACATCCCTCTTGAACTGTTAGAACCCGATTAACAATTTTAATATGTATAATAATTGAACGCCTCGGTTCTGGGTTTAATTCCTTTCCTACAAATATTTGATTTTATGAGTATGAATGGTTGTATATTTATATCTATTGGTTTTTTAGTCCTATATAGTACAAGCTCTTCTTAGTTTTGGACTATATGGCCCTTTGTGACTTGTACTAGGTTATTATTATTATTAAGTTTATGGGTAACTAATAATAAACTTGTAATAGCAATCATACATTCATCATAATCAAAAGTATTTGTTTCAATATATACTTAATATTCCACTTACTTATTTCCGTACTTAATATTTAGTTTAGTTGTACCCAATAATAATGTGATATTATAATCTACCTACTCTATGAAGATCTGTGTATTGAATACTAATGCTTAGTGCTTTCTATTAATATGCATCACACAGTCACATTCTTATTTATTTTTCTATTATATTTTAACATCCGTGAATCTAATCAACTATTCATATCATTAAACGTATTAAAAAAAACTATATGTAGAAACTATGATTCATCTAGATAAGAGACAACATATATTCAATTATCTATTTTAGAGGAAGAATAAAAGAGGTATAAATTCAATGGAAGATTTGAATGTTTATTCCGTACTCAGTCATGCATAAATGGCTGAACGGATTTGATTCCAAGAATACGAATACAAAAACGGCGTATACAAGAAAAAGTATGTCGTAAATAATTCTTTATTTAAATGTTACTTGGTCTAAAAATAAAATCCATCTGAAACATATACAGTATGTATATTACTACTACCTGGTAGCCGCTGGTTTGTCTGCTTTTTGATATAAAAGGTGCGCCTATGTCTGTCCTCATGATATAATTTGTCTGCATAACACATTTTATTACGATTCATTCAACCGTTTATTTGTAAAATGCTACAAACAAACAGATAGATAATTTTCGATTTAATATGGTCATTAACATATATTTGTTATTAGTTTAAAATTGACTGAGTAATAGACACATCATCTTCCTCAGTTTGCGTTGCGTCTTATGTTTTTATGAAATTTGCAAATGATATATGATATCTATCAAAATCATATATGATATGATGCTGTCTTTAGCATATATGAGGTAACATATATGCTAAACACAGTTGAAAAAATAAAAATAATCTTTTCAAAAGTAGTGAAATACAAATCATTGAATTATTTATTTTTGTACGATTATTTATTAAAAATGTAGACGCGATTGAAGTTATAGGTACTACTTATATATTAATATCTCAAAAATGTTGTTTAAGAAATCGTCTGAGGTAGGTGTATGAAACAATGCGTCACGTCGATCGAATACGTCGTCGGCACGGTTCGTGCGACTCTAATCGGAAATGTATAGTCAGTCTAACGTGTTATAAATTTGCAATATCATCGTATCAATATAACATAAGTATACTCGTATATACATACCACCTAACACAATAATCTTTCTTTTGTCGACCATAAAATAATGTAAACTTTTAAATAATCTTGTTGGTAATTGAATAGAACTTTAATA